TTGACTTATTGTTGCCAAAATTGATTAAGCTTTTAGCAAAGAGTTTTGTGATTATAGGCCAATTTATTTGCCCAAAAAGATTGATTATTTTTCTAAAAGGCCTTTAGCCGAAAATGGATTGATTTTAAAGCTTTTTTAAGCCAAAAGTGTTGATTTAGGCAATTGGTTTGCCGAAAATTGATGTGATTACGCATTGTCCCCCAAAAATCGGTTATTTTGAAAGCTTTAATAGCTTAAAATGTTGATTTAGGCAATTTGTTAGCCGCAATTTGTTAGCCAAAATGATGTGATTGGGCGATTGTCACCAAAATTGATTGACTTAAGGCAATTTATTTGCCAAAAGCAATTGTTTGAAGGCTTTTAGTCAAAAATTGTGATTTAAGCGATTTGTCGCTAAAAATGGTTAATCTTACTTATAGGCAATTTGTTTGCCAAAAGCGATTAAACCGTAGGCAATTTGTTGCCAAAATGGTTGATTGAATGTAGGCAATTTATTGCCAAAAAAACATGATTGAATGAGCTCGTTAGCCACAATACTCAAATTTTGAGGCTCAAAAAGCCAATTTTCCCGGCCGCGGCGGTGGCGGCCGCCGGCGACAGCGGCTGCAGTCGCCATTATTTTTGAGGCTCGAAGAAGCCATTGTCGCCGGACTCGCGAACAGTCCCGCCGGACCGAAGGCCATTTTGGAGTTTAACCGAAAGTATGCCAATATGGTACTGAAAGTCCGGGCGTCGCGAGGATCGCGGGGAACTGGTCCCCGGAAATTTTTTTCGCGAGGTCAGGAGCTCCCGGAAAAGCCTCCGGAGCGAGAATTAGTTAAAACCACCAGCACGGCGGCCAAAGCCGCTGCTTCCAGGTCTCTCTCTATCCCTCCTTTGGGTTTGGCCCCTCCACAGCGGCCTGTCCGGAGCCCACTCCGCCGAGTTTTCCGGCGGCTTCTTGGCCGCCTTATATCTCCCAGCTCTTATATCTTCGCAGGCCGCCCGAAACAGTTCCTTTTGTCGCCTTATATTTGGTCTTCCCCGGGCCTTTCTGTTTTCCACACTCAGTCTGGTGTGACGGACGTCCTTCTGTGTCCCCTTAGCTCCTTGCTATTCTTTATCTGCTTTTTCTGCATTGTAGTTTAGCTTTGATTTGCTTTCTGTTGTTCTATTTTGATCATTAAAATTTTTAAATTAATAATATGCTTAACGAGAGTTTACCTGTAGTATATATAGTGCGTCCGATGTTAAGATCAGTACGATTTAGATATCTTAAACTCTGCCTATTTATATTTAGCATTTCATATATCTATTTTCCTTAATATATATATTTATCTTATCTATATATATATTCATGAATCTTTAGGTAAACAAACTGCCTCAATTAAACCAAATTTAGGCTAAATCTCTATTATCAATAATCGTTTTGATAAGCTTAAATCCGGATCAAGTATTGGCTAAAAAGCCCTCAGGTTAAACAGATAAACTATGTGAAATTGCTTTATTTCTATATCTATATATTCGGTTAAGGTCCAATTATATATATATTTGCCATATATATATATCACATATTTTCTTGCAAATCAATTGCCACATAACAATTCAGTAATCAATTTTGGCACACACACACCCCAATAAATTAAGATTAACCACGTTTTTAGCGACAAATCGCTTAAATCTTAAAGCTTTGCAAATGCCTTTATATTCTATCTAAAAGCTTATATATATATATATTGTTTGGGAACAATTCGCAATAGAGTATCATTGTTTGCAATCAAAATGTGCCTAAATCCACTCTTTTTTTGGTGTCTCTAAAATAGCCTTAAATCAACCTTTTTGCAACAAGCCTAAATCACTCTTTTTGGCTAAAAGCCTTAAATCCAATTTTCGCACGCCACGATGCTAAAAATCAATCATTTCTTTTGGCAAAATGCCTGAACAAAAATGCACAAAGCATAGCACACACTCATGCATTAAAGCATTCCCCATTTCAAAGCCCTTCGAAGGAAGCCTATCGAACTACCGTTGATTTGACTCTTCCATTCAAACGGAAAGTACGTAGCACGTGAGGGATTTATACCGCTCCCGAGCGCAAGTCAAACTCATCAAACCACACTTCTTTTTGTCCAGCATTAACAATTCGATGCACCCTGCCCAAAGCTATGCATTTTTTTTTCGTTAAGTCATCTTAGTTCATCAACATGACATAGTCTCGGGATCCACCTCGGGTTCGAAGACCATGCCTTAAACATTGGGATAATTAATCTAGTAACTAGGTTAATTGACATCGGAGTCACTTAGGGTTTTTTCCTAGTTTACCCTAAAATAATTAAACAAGGTGGCGACTCATACATTCAAGGGCATTTCTACCCTTAGTCACATGCATTCATATGCTATGATATTTGGGGGAGGGGTTCACAGTTCAAAATAAGGCAATTGAACCGTAGTTATTAATTAACTAGATTCTTTAGCCAATTTTGTCGGATTCAAGCTTTAATGCCACGATTATTGATTAATCGGGCATTCGGGCTTAATCACATTTAAACAATTTATTGTTAAAACATGATTGATTAAGGCTTTTAGCCACAAGCACAATTATTGATTTAATTGACCTAAAGCCGGAATTTGTTCGGACATTAAGGCAATTAACCGTATGTATTAATTATTAATTAACTAGGCTCTTTGGCCAATATTGTCGGATTTAAGCTTAACTGCCACGATTATTAATTAATCGGGCGTTAAGCTTAATCATGTTTTTTTCTTTTTTATCAAAGCAGTTTATTTGCTAAAATAAATAACATGAATGCATTTATGCAATTATAGAATTGTTAGGAGTAGAAGAGAAATATGCATGAAGTGCTGAAATTAAATAGTCAGAGTTTTGTTTACGTACCTGATTTAATCGGCGGCCACTTCTTAATTCCAGATTTAAGCTCCTCGCTTGGGGAATATTAATTTTAATTTATTTGATTTAGTGTCCAAATATCACAACAAAATATAGGCAGAGTTTCCGGTTTAAGTACGCTGATTTAATCGGATACCCGACCGCTTTTAACTCCAGATTAAGCTCCTCGCTTGGAAAATATTAATTTAATGTTTAATTTGTTCAATTTTAGTGGCCAGAGTATCACAACCAAAATACAATTAAAATTGAAAATGCAAAAAGCGGTAAAGAATCGCCAAAAGCGTGGGTGAGAAGGAAGCATGCCTCAACACGGGACGAGCAAGCCAAAATGTTGAAAGGTAAGTGGCCTATTTATTAGGCTCAAAAAACGGGTCCAGCGGCAGTGCCGCCCGGCGAGCGGCCCCAGGGGCCTCTGCCGCCTGGGGCCGGCGGCTGCTGCCCGCGCGGGGCGCCGGCGGCCGGAGCCGCCGTGTGCAGCAGCTGGAGCCGCCGTGTGTGGCGGTGGCCATCGTGTCTCGTTCCGGGGGCTTTTTCGGGAGTTTCAGACCTCTGAAAATTATTCCGGGACCGGTTCTGCGATCCTCGTAAATTTTCAGACGTTTCAAGTACCATATTGGCATACTTTTGGTGAGTTTCCAAAATGACCTCCGGTCCAGCTGGACTGTTTGCAAAGTCAAATTTTATTATTCGCAGTCCGAAAAATTGGCTTTTTGAGCCTCAAAATTTGAGTATTCACAGTTGCCCCCCACTGGCTATCATAAAAATGATTTATGGGAGTCGGTGGTTGTCTGAAATATCAAATTAGATATATTTAAATGCTAATATAATTGTTGGTGGAGATGGTACGATAGTCTTCTTTGGGCTAAACTTAATTGAGATTGTTAAATTTGGAGTTATATTTAAAATGCTTTTCCTTTTGGGGGCTGTTATTGGGTGATTCTTTGATAAGATTCCTTGTTTGCCAATTATATGCTTTGTTTTAAATGATTTGATTCTATAATTCCTGCCTACTGTTATTTGTTGAATGGGAGTATCTATTTCTATATTTTTATATATTAGTTCTTCTGGATTTGCTTAAATGTCTTCTTGCATTTTTACCATTTATGTTTTACTAATGTAGTTTTGGAGTCAGTGTTGATTTAGAGTCGGCTGATCTATTGACTGCTAGATTTCTGTTAGGATTTGGTATGTAGATGCTTCTATCTTGCTTTCTTATGAAATGTACTAGACAATTATTGATAGATCAATTATATGAATGTATGCACTTATTATGAATGAAATGTCATTTTGCTTAAAATGCTTGATATATTTCCCACTATTTTATTTCATCAAAGTAAATTCACAACATTTGCATATTAACATAAACTTAACATAACAAGCTTTAAAGTTAATAAGAACACAAAAGGTGAATTTATTAACTTAACATAACAAGCTTTAAAGTTAATAAGAACACAAAAGGTGAATTTATTAATTGGGCTTTATCATAAATGTTACAAGTCATACATAGAATTTCTTCAGCCTATTCAAATTGATTGGTCTAGTAAATTCATTACCTTCCATGTCTGGTAGCTTCACTGCACCTATGGAAAACATTCTCTTGATAAAAAATGGGCCTTCCCAGTTAGGTTTGAACTTCCCCCTTGGGTTATGAGTGTTTGACCACATCTGTTTCATAATCAAATCCCCTACTCTTAGTAGCTTCGAATGAACTCTTCTATTGAAGTGCTTAGCTATTCTCCTTTTATATAATTGATCCATGAATCGAGCATTAAGCCTCTTTCCATCTAGGAAGTGCTTAGCTATTCTCCTTTTATATAATTGATCCATGAATCGAGCATTAAGCCTCTTTCCATCTAGGAGTGCTAATTCTTGATAGTGATTTCTGTCCACTAACATTCTGGAATCTTAGATTCCATCATTATGCGCAAGGACTTTGCTTCTATTTCTATTGGTACCACAACTTCCATTCCATAGACTAAAGAATAAGGGGTTACCCCATTCGCAGATTTGGCTATGGTCCTGTAGCCCCATAAAGCATATTGTAGCTTGCTTGCCCAATCATGATGATTTTTTGCCATTTTCCACATTATCTGTTTGATGTTTTTATTTGCAGCTTCCACTGTGATACGGAGCAAGGGAGCAAGGTGAAGGATCCTCTAGCTCTACCCGTGGGACCAATCACAAGAGCTCGTGCAACCAAGCTACGAGCAGCCTTGAATGCATTTACTCAAGAAACAAAAACACATTGGAGCTTCAAGAATCAATAATTATTGCAAGATGTGAGATTGAACTTGAAGAAGAAGCACCAAAGCTTTGTTATTGCGTACTTGAGGCGTGCAAAGAGGCTGCCTTATTGATGAAGTTACATGATTCTATACTTAGCAATTCAGGAGTTTTATTTTATTATGAGCCTTAAGTATGGGTTGTGTAGGCCTCTAGCCCATTTGTCTGTTTTTTTTATTTAAATTCTATTAGTGGACTAATTAATTAGTGTAAGGCTGGTTGGCTTATCCTCCAGAGTTGGGCCCAGTCCTAAAATAGTTAATGTTTTAAGTCAGCCTTGTTTAATTAATTAGTTAGCTTGGACTTGTATTTAATTAAGCCCATTTGGGCCACATTAGGTTTAGGCCTGGGCTAACTTAAGTTAATAGTTAAATTAGGGTTAGCTGAGGTTATTTATATTGTTTTGTAAGAGCTGCACGGCAGCCAACATTAATTTGAATTAAAAACCAACGTGTTTTTCTTTGTTCTTCAAGAACAAATCGTGTTCTTCATCCTTGCATGAACAGCACCATATCTACCTTAGTAATTAGGCTTGTGAGTTCTACAAGATTGATTGCGCCAAGAATTTCAGAGTTGTTTTCAAGAGTACTTGAAGGTAAGTTTCTGATTCTTGTTCTAAATTCCTTGTTTTTCTCTCTTCAAGAGTACTTGGGGTTAAAGGATTGGACGGGTACTTCCGTGATTGCATGCTTATCCGCCTAAGATTACACTTGTGAATTTGCCAAGAGTACTTGTAATTAGCTAGGATCATATTACACTTCCTATTACTTTATGTGGTTTAGCTTATGGTCAATATGGTGAAGACTTATGATGTTCAATTCCATATTTTTCCAACAGCGTCTTTACTTCTGCTTGGAACTGAACTCCATTATCTGTCACTATATGATGGGGATTCCACATTACATATCAGGTTCTTTTTAATGAAACTAGCCATTTGCTTGGCGCTAATATTCTTGAAAGATTTTGCTTCAACACATCTTCAGAAATAGTCCACTGTAACCACTATGAATTCGTGTCCATTAGAAGTGGGTGGTGAAATTTCATCAATGATATCTATTCCCCAAGCTGCAAATGGCTATGGCAAAATAGAAGGATGTAATTCTAAAGGTGGAATGTGACCCAGATCTCCGTGAATTTGACATTCGAAGCACCTTTTTCACAAAAGAAATACAATCTCTTTCCATTATTGACCAAAAGAAACCCTATCTGATAATTTTCTTAGCTATTGCTTTTTCGTTCATATGGGTACTGCAAAACCCTGCAAGGATCTGTTCCATAATCCCTTCAACTTCTTTCCTGGATACACATCTTAGCAATACCCCGTCTGACATTCTTTTGTATAATTGACCATCTAAGACTGCAAATTGTAATGCCAAACATTGTATAGCTCTTTTGTCATCTCTAGTAGTTGAATCTGGGTAAACCCTTTTAGTCATCCATTGTAGGACATCATAAAACCATGGCTGATCTTCTTTCTCGATATCCATAATCCTTCCTCCTTCGTAATATGGGATGCTATCTGAAGACATCATAAACGACTTCTTAGGCATAACTGAAATCTTTTCCCAAGCTGAAGTTAAATTAGCCAAGGCATCTGGTACTCAGTTGTTCACTCTGCTTATGTGTGTAAAGGTCACTCTTTTGAAGTTCTAAATAACAATGTGCAAGTAACCAATAAAGGGTTTCAAACTATCTTCTTCAACTTCCAAATTCTCGTTAGCGTGCTCAATGACCAGTTTTGAATCACCAATAACCTCAACTTCTTCGGCTTTAACTATAGTCAGAGCTTCTAACCCAAATAAGCATGCCTCATATTTTGCCATGTTATTCGTAACTGCAAACTATAATCTCTTTAACATCGGGATAAATTCTCCTTGTGGAGATTCCAGTAAGATGCCTACTTCATCTCCTTTGCTGTGAGTTAAACCATCAAAATAGAGCTTCCATCCTTTCTTTTCTATTAAGTTTAGATGTTCATGAAAAAAAATCAATCTCCCATTATTCATTGTCTTCTACGAGAAAAAGTCTATAATTGCTCGTCCTTTGACGATTTTCTTCATAGCATATTCAATGTCAATTTCTGATAACAGGATTAGCCATCTTGCTAGCTTCCCCACTAGTGCTAGTGTCCCATACAAATATCTGACCGAATCCATCCTTGATATTGCTATTACCTTATAAGACTTAAAATAGTGACGAAGCTTTCTGGTTGCCCATACCATTGCTAAGCAAGTTCTTTCAATCAAGTTATATTTCTATTCATTTGGAAGAAGCTTTTTGCTCAAATAATACACTGCCTTCTCTATTCATTTGCGAAGATATTTCTATTCATTTGGAAGAAGCTTTTTGCTCAAATAATACACTGCCTTCTCAACACCAACTTCATCAACTTGTGCTAACATGGCTCCAATTCCAGCATTTTTCACTATCAAATATAGAATTAAAGGTTTCCCTGGTTTTGGTGGGCACAAAACTGGGGGACTTAACAAATATTCCTTGATTTTGTCAAAAGCTATCTGGTAGTGATCGTTCCACTTTACTTGTTGATATATTCTTAACAGTTTGAAGATTGTATCACATATTATAGACAACTTCGATATGAACCTGTTGATATATTGAATATTTCCCAGGAGCTTCTCACTTGCTTTTCTGTCTTGGGTAGCTCCCGTCTCTTGGATTGCCTTGATCTTGTCTGGATCGATCTCTATTTCTTTCGATCCTATTATCAACCCTAGCACTTTCTCGAAAGTTACCCTGAACACAAACTTCGCATTTAGCTGTAACTTGTATTTAATCACTCTGTCCGTAAACTTCTCCAGGGCCACTGATGCTCTTCTAGAGTCTTTGTAATGACAATTATATCGTCAATGTAAACTTCTAGCTCTTTGTGGATCACGTCATGAAATAGTGTAGTAGCCATCCTTCGGTAAGTAGCCCCCGCATTCTTTAAGCCAAACGGCATTACCCGATAACAGAAAGTACCAAACTCCATTATAAATGTTCTCTTAACCTTGTCAAATAATGCCATGAGAATCTGGTTATACCCTGCAAACCCATCCATAATGGAGTAGCATCCCATCATTGCCGCACTGTTAATCAAGATATCAATTCTAGGGAGAGGAAAATCATCCTTCAGCGATGCTTTATTTAATCCCTATAGTCCACACACATTCTGACCCTTCCATCTTTCTTAGGAACTCGTTATATTTGCTAGCCATTCTGGATAGTGAACCACTTCTAAAAATCCTGCATTTATTTGCTTGGTCACTTCCTCTTTAATCTTCTCCCACAATTTCGATCTTAATCTTGTTCTCTTATGTTTCATTGGCTTGGCTCCAGGATATAGAGGAATTGTGTGCTTGGCTATAGACCTATCTATCCCTGGCATATCTTCATAGCTCCATGCAAAGGCTTCCTTTTTGTCCATGAGTAGACTTTGAAATTTTGTGTTTAACGTAGACTTTGAAATTTTGTGTTTAACTTTGGTGTTAGGTTTGGCCCAATTAATAAAAATTCATGGATTATTTTTTATGCCAATAATGAATTCAAGCATGCATGATGAGTTAATGTCAAATATGCGCATGTGCTGTAACATCCCTTCCCGGTCCACCCATGATCCGAATGAACCGAGACGAGATGCTACAATCTGGTTGAACCTCTGTCCTGTCATGCTAATATCATCCTGTATGATAAATATTATGTCATGTTGTTGCTTTATACATCATTTATATACAGACATTTATTTAATATATACAAGACATTACACTATTTTCCAAATGAAATGGGCCCAACTATGTGCCCAACATATGTGCAAACTGTACATAGCCATAGAACCAAAAATATCGAAAGGAGTAGTTACCCTAAAGGGACTGGCGTCTTCAAAAAGATGAATTGCTAAAACAGCAGTTGTAAAGATGACTGCTCTATGGTCCAGACCCAAAACCTACGAGTTAAAACAGGTAACTCGCTTGAGCAAAAAAGCTCAGTGGATATCTCACTTAATAAGAATTAAGAAATAAGCATGTATAGCACTCATTATCATTTATACTTTCATGGTACTAACCTACTGTTTCATTATGCTGTATGAATTATGCAAGTTTTATTAAACATCGTATAATTATAAAAACACCAATTTCAAACTGTTAATGGCTCCATTAAGTACAGTTTGAAACGAAAGTGATAGACAAGACTATATGAAACTGGATGAATACTGTATGGGCTGGGGCTTGCCTATGGACCCGTATATAAATCATATCCACTCAACGGCCTTTGTTTAGTCGGAGTACCAAACTGTAGGACGCAGATCTGCTATCCTATGTCGCGACATAGTCTTATCTACGTAGTTTCTTACCTAACCTCGGTGGAGCATTTATCAGGAATATTCATTAAAATGCCATAAACCATATTGTTTACCTGTATGTTGTTCTCATGTCTATACGTTGCCTAACCTGTTTCATGCTTTTTCAAAGGGATTTCATAGACAACTACAAGTAATATCGAATGAGTAATAATGCAAACAATTGATAACTTGAAAGAACTTGCATTGAAAATTAGATCTAACTGTTTGCACCTTGCGACGCAACTCTTAACTACTCTTTATGTAACTTAATTAGGACCATTCAGATTAAGGAAATTTTTTATTTTAGATTTAAGTGTAAAACACCCTGATTTTTTTGTGTCTAAAATAATAAATTTTACCGGTCTGTGAATAGTACTATCCGTCTATGAATAGTACCATCGGTCTGGGAATAAAGTACTATTGTTTTGTCCGGAAAAAATTATTTATCTATGTGTCATTATTGTTATTTAATATTTTTGGAGTATGCCCATACATGTTTTTATTGGGTAGAAAATAAAGGTAATGAATATTTTGGTAGAATTTTAGATTAATTAGTGAATTAGTGAAGTATGGTGTTATATTAAGTAAGGAAATTTAGGAATTATTTTTAAGGATTAAATTTGAGAATGATTAAATTTGAGAATT